TGGAATGCATTCTCAGATTATTTAGACTTTGTTGAAATTTTTGCTTAAAGAGGAACAGATCATAAATGATAAAGGATTAGTTTTGTCAGAAGTAGTGAGTTTTTGAATTTCTACCTGCAAATGTTTTCAGATAGAAGCACAGTTTATTCACTAACAATTTGTGATAGAAGTATTTTGAATATTTTGACTACTTTGAATACTTTGATTTATATTTTCAGATATTATTATTGGAAGCTGGTATAGAAGAACCGGAAGTAGCTGAGATTCCAGCCTTTGTCATTACATTATCAGGAAGCAATATCGATTGGATATATCGCACGCAACCGGAGAAGCATTCTTGTCGATCGAGATTGGGTAGAAGTTGTGCGATGCTAAGGGGTAAAGTACGTACAGCACATATTTTAACTTTTTTACAGTTTCGTTAGAGACACTGAATTGTTGCCATGTACAAGAATAGAGTTTAAAGTTCCTATTTGCATAGTCTTAATACAGCATGTTCACTTATAATGATAAAAAGTACTCGAACATAATAGTGTTTATATCTGTATGTTATGCAAAATATTATTAATAAAATAGACAGAACACGACTATTTAGTTATACTAAAATTTCCAACAAACCTAGAAATAATGGGAGTAGTTCCAGTATTAAAGTGTCTATGCTTTTAATTTATTATCATACTTACAGGTGATGGCTCCAGCACTACTAATGTCATGATGTGCGTTCGTGGTAATCCAAGAAATTACGACGGATGGGCAGAGGAAGGAAATCGTGGCTGGAGCTACGAAGAAGTAGTACCATAGTTTAAAATATGAAGTAGAAAATATGGTAGAAGTTCTACCATATTTTCTAAAATCAGAAAATAACAAGGATCCAGAGGTAAGAAATTTAATTAGAACTTATATTATCATTTACCTGATGTTAATCAATTTAAATTTCCTACTAATTACAACGAATTTGTAATTCCTTTAATTTGTAATTCTTTATATTAATTTTTACCACTTTAAGTATTTTAACAGATTTACGCTTGTCTGATTCATTATACATATTTTGTTTCTACTAAAGGTACAATTAAGAATGTATATAACATATATAGTATTCTAAATATTATCTACTGAAAAAACGAATGATAGAATTCGTTCCAGTACTGTTAAATTTAAGACACATTAAATTTATACTAAATCAAATTAAAACTGTATCAAACAGATATCAAACTGAATAAAATTGAAATTTATCTAAAATTATTAACTATTCGCATTTTTTCCAGATAGTGGAGGAGAATCCACTCTAGCACAAACAACATGGTTACCAGTCGGTACAACAATTCCCATATATTGATACCAACGTTGTCTTGCTGAATGCGTGGCAAGAACTCGGTTACAAAGTCGTAGATGTCAATGCAAACAACCAATTAGGTGTGATGAATCTATAAACAACTTCCGCTAATGGGACACGCCAAAGCACAAACAGCGCATTCATACGACCCATCAGACGTAGACGCAGGAATCTAACTGTCAAAAATGAAACATACGTCACGAAATTGCTTGTAGACCAAGAAAAAAAACGTGTAACAGGCGTGGAATATGCTTCAGGAAACAACCGAACTAAATTAAACACAGTTTTTGCTAAAAAAGAAATAATTCTCTCTGCTGGATCAATTAATTCTCCAAAAATTCTTATGCTCTCTGGAATTGGACCAGAAGAAGAATTAGAGAAACATGGTATTCAAGTAATTAGTAATTTATCAGTTGGAAGGAATGTTCAAGACCATTCAGGAATGTATGGTCCAGTAGCTGCATTAAATGTTACTTCCACGAGCAAAAATATCTCTCTGATTGAAGACATTTTCACTTATGAGCAGACACATAGAGGACCTTTATCTGCAATTGGTACTACTAGTGTCAGTGCTTTCTTGCAAACAATGTTCCAACATGAGAATGGTGTGCCTGATATACAAGTTTATTTCCCTCCAACTAATCGTGAAGATTTTTTAAATAATCCAGATGAATGTCTTGATGCAGTTGTCGAATCTTCAGTATCTTATTACGATGCTATATCTATTATTCCAGTTTTATTGTCACCTGAAAGCAGAGGATTTATATTGTTGAATGAGAGTGATCCTGTATGGGCACCACCTTTAATTTACCTTGGATATTTTAGCAACAGTAGTGATTTGGACGTGCTAGCAGAAGGAGTCGAAATAGTTTTAAAACTGTTTGATACAGAGTCATTTAAGAAGAATGATTTCACATTGATAAAAAAAAACCTTTGCATCCTTGTAGACAGTTCAAATTTGGTGAAAGAGATTATTGGAAGTGTGTGATGATGGAATATACTGTGACTCCCTTTCATCTGGTTGGGACTTGTAAGATGGGACCAAAATCGGACCCTCAGGCTGTAGTCGATGAGAGGTTAAAGGTTTATGGAGTGGAACGTTTAAGGGTCGTGGATTCTTCGATTATGCCGAAAATTTCTAGAGGTAATACGAATGCTCCTACTATTATGATCGCGGAGAAAGCTAGTGATATGATTAAGGAGGAATGGTTGTCTAGCGGGGTTTGATTTACATGATGTATATTGTACTGTATAAACCTTGATTGTGATAATTAATTGCCTCTACATATACGCTATAATACTAAAATAATTATTAAAATAATAAATGATATAATATTGTAATGTCAAAATGAACATGTTTATGTACGCAATACAATAAACAAATTGCATAATATTATGTTTAAGTTAATTGCAATTTATTTGCTCCACTATTGAAATAAATTTAGTTAGTATTAAGTTAAATGTAATAATTAAAAGAAGTTTTTCTTTTAACGACGCTTATTGGTAATATTGATATTGTAGTATATAGTTGTAATTAAATTATATAGTTGTAATTATATTGTAGCTATGTATATATACATATATATTTACTAGTTATAATCGTGTAAATGTTTATCTAAATTTAAACTTTTATGAACAGACGAATAAAATTTAAAGTGGGAGTTTTTACCAAAGGAATAAAATTATATCTTTTAATTTGTGTGTTTTATATTTTATATTTTCTGTACTTTTCTGTTAGTGACAGGCTTGAGTTACGAGATATGAATTGATGTACTATATCTTGACATATTGGCCAGTTTGATTTTTTACATTCTACTTTGTTGGTCGATGAATTGTTTGGAATGGAATGGAATGTTAATATAATAATCATCTCAAACATACTTTCTCTTCAAAATTTATGATTTCAATATTTTAAATTTTTCGCTAGAATATTCCGTTTGAAGTTATGTTACACTCTAGAAACTTCATTAACCGAATTTAGAAATTACCCGAGCACAATAACTTTTAAAATTGAACTATTATAACAGAATTAGAATGTAATGTTCAGACAAAGAAGAAATGATTGAAATAAAAGAGAAATGAAAAAAGAGTACATGTTCGTTAAGTAGAAAGTAATAATTTCATTTGACTCTTGATAGTTTCTTGCGAAGAAAATCCGATATCTTTATGAAAGGAAAAAGTTGTTGGAAATATCGATTTCTATATTCAAAAATTACTTTGGATCTGATAGATTTCGTTCTAATAAAAGTGTTAAATGAGTCGCACTTCCAATGATCAACAACAAACCTTAGTATTTATCATACATGCATAATCATGAATTACCTATAAAAACCTTCTGAAGTAGAGTTTATTCTTACTCTATCCAATAATCACTAAAAAAAATTAATTCTCGAAGCCAAGATTTTATATCTTCGGAGTTTTTATCGATCAAATTTCATTTCGATCGGTGGCTGTTGAAATTAAATAAATATACGGTTGCCAATGGCCAATCAAAATAATTTTAGAAAGTAATTTAGTTAAAAATTATTTTTAAAAGCAATGAAGTATAAATTATTATACATTTAAAATGTGTATTAATATCAAAAAGCACGGATAGTACCCCTTTCTGATTTGTATATACATGGATACATAATATAAAATGGAATACGTTTAGATACTGAGTTCTTGTACTTGTTATTTTTACTAGAATATTTCGAAGTCCTCTAAAGATACTTTCGAATATAATAGAGTAGAATACATATTATATTCATGGAATGTAATAGAATTAAATAATTTTGGCTTCAAATATATTAAAATTGGAAATTTTACGAATTATGTATATATATTTGAATTTATACGTAATAAATTTTATTCAATAATAATTAATTCATTTGGAATTTTATTTTTAAGAATGATATATATGTATCCATTTTTTCAATTGTTTATATAGGAATTATATTAATATGTATATTAATAACAAAATTAAGATTTTTTTTGTAAATGTATATAACAATTTGTCATGGCTTGGTTTCTTCTGGATTATTTCATGTAATTAATTTAATTTATATTCAAACAAATAATTGATAAATCTATACAAATTTATTAATTTACATTAGAATATATTACATTCATAGGATACAATAGAGTAGAATGCATATTATATTCATAGAATATTTTAATATG